ATAGTTAACATTCCTGAACAAATTGAGCCTGAGATGCATGATCAATGTTGCATCTACAAGGTTCCTCACCATCTCCATAAACTGAATGTGGAAGCCTATACACCATATTTCATCTCAATAGGCCCTCTTCACAGTGAAAAGCCAGAGCTGAAGCAGGAAAAACTGAAGCAGAGGTATTTTCATGCCTTCTGGAAAACTTTATCTCAGAGGCAGTCTTTAGCTTTGTCAAAGTATAAAGTCTTCCTTGAAGAGAACAAAGAAAAGATAGGGAACTCTTACTCCGAGCCAGAACTCCACAAGAATGAAAATTTTGTGGACATGATCCTGTTAGACTCAGTCTTCATCATGGAACTGTTTCTGAGAAAAGCAAACAAATCTGAGCAGAAGAATGATTTGATGTTCACCACATCATGGATTTGCAAGATGACTCAACGTGACTTGTTACTGCTAGAAAACCAGCTTCCCATGTTTGTGTTGGAGGAGTTGCACACAAGGGTCATCCTTGGAGATAATGGCACCAAGGAAAACTGTCTCAAGTTCACTGAACTTGCCTTTAACTACTTTGAAGACTATTATCCACACAAGTCAATTCAAAAGGTGGAGATGATCAAGAATTGTGAATCTTGCTTAAACTTCACTGATTTGATCAGATACACTTACCTTCCTAGACAAATCCAGGTTCATAAGAACTCATCACAACATTTCACTCCTTGTGCTGTGGAATGTGTTCTGAGGACTGCAACAAAGTTGGATGAAGCAGGTGTTAGTTTTGAAACTGTTGAAGGTAGGAACTATTTGGATATAAAGTTTGAGAAATCTCCAATTCTGAGCTGGTTCTTGTGTTTTGGTTGCTTACCATTCACTGAATGTTTCAAATCTCGTTTGCAAATACCCCATTTGAAGGTAGACCAGGTGACAGAATGTATATTAAGAAACCTCATTGCTTTGGAGCAGTGCCACTATTCAGACCAGCCTTTCATATGCAACTATGTGAATCTAATTGACTCCTTAATTCACACTCAAGATGATGTAGAGCTTTTGGTGGACAGAGAAATAATTGTGCATGAACTTGGCAGCCACAATGAATTAGCAACAATGATAAATGGTCTTTGCAGACATGTTGTTGTGACTTCAAATTATTATGGCAGAATCACAAGGGAACTCAACGAACACTACAACTGCGGTTGGAAACACTACATGGGTATGCTGAAGTCTGTATACTTCCGTGATCCTTGGAGATTCAGTTCAACTATCGTGGGAATTGCTGTGTTCTTGTTTGCTGTTTTAAACTTTCTAAGGGTCATTGGTGTGCTTCGACCAAAATATTAAAATTGATATGATCTTAGAATTTTGCCACACAAATGCTAACAACTGAGATTGAAAGATAGGCATGCTTGTTTTTTTATCAGACTATCAATTCTGTGTTCCAACTATGAGATCGATTTCTTTTTCCACGATTAACCGAGTAGATTTATGCAATGTTATAAATGCAAACAGTTGGAGTGCACTCCCTGTTGTGAAGTGTGAACAGGGGAATCGCGTGAAACACGATTTGGGATTTTAATTATATTAAAAGTAAAGTTGGTGTTTATTGGAAATATTAAATCACTGTGACAGAGTGTCAAAGTCCTACTTGTTTTTACTCAGAGTAGTGACATCCACCTTATCAAATTTTTTATTCCAAATAAAAATAAAAATTGTTTTAGAAAACTTGCAATCAAAATGGTTCAATTTCTTTTAAATTACTGATTTAGATAGTTTCTTTTCAAAATTATGTAAATCGTGCTTGGGTTCACAATTTATGTTATTTATGTTATATATTTTATGAATATTATTATTTTGACACCCAACAAATTTTTATGCATATTTTATATTTATTATTTTATCTTTTAATTTTTTTACAAATACAAAATTAATTTTTTTAATGAAAAAAATATTTCTAAAAGTGGACTGTTAATTAGTGCAAGTAGTGTGAAAAATTATTTTTCTTATTTTATCTTTCAATTTCACTTTTTTCTTTTTGAATACAAAAATTTTATTATGAAAATGTTTTATATATATCACTTGCACAAGTTGACAATCAATTTTTTTTATCATTGGAAAAGTTAAATTTAAAATGTATGTAAAATTATTTTAGGTATCAAAACAATACTATACTCTCTTTTTTTAATGAGTATATTAGGTTGAAAAGTGATTTGTAAGCTCAAACACTACAAAAAAAATCAAGAATTATATCAAGAGTTTTTTTTTTCTTTTATTACCGACAATTTTAATGATTGGTAAATACATTTTCTACTAATAAGAAAATAGTTGGAAAAAACACTATCAACAAATAATTTTTGACGATAGGTAATAAATCACTACTTGTGGGGATTATTAGAAATTACTGTAATTTATAGTGTTCTTAGAAATCGTATTTGCTTGTTTATGAAAAGGAAAATATTTTTTTAACAATTTTTTTTATAATCTTTTTATAATAATTTATGTGATAATTTATGATTGATCCTTTTAAATATATTAATCAATAAAATAATAATATATATACTATTATTATTAAAAAGTTGTTAAAAAAGAGTTGCTAAGTTATCATTATCTTTGTAAAAGCTATCAGTATTTGGATTGGAGATAATTTGACTGTATAAAGAACTGAAAAATTCTCGATGTATAAAAGCGACATGGATCGGAGATAATTTCAAAGACAACAACACAAAAATATGCTTATTATATTGATACCAAATGAACGACACGATGAAACAACAATCCAAAAACTT